GTCTAATAGAAGATAAGTACTCCTGAGAGGCATTAGATTAGGCGGTTCTGCCACAGAAGCGCCAAAGATTGGGTTTATATGGATAACATAGATAAGTAGTTGGATATGTCGGTTCGATGATGATGGTACGATTTTATATCCTTTTGTGAGAGCAGTATTGGAGGCAGGCTTAGCATGTCGAGATGGAGAATGTGAAAGGGAAGTTTTAGTCTTATGGATGATATCGTGAAACAAAGAATGATATCTAGTTGCATGGAAAAATGTGAAAGGAAGAAATGCCTCTTGTTACATGCATGTTGGACACCTTTTGTCAATTGTCATGTCCAACGTGGAATCATAAATAAACACGTCCTTCGTAGCAAAAGTGTATAGGCAAAACCTAACCATCCATTTGTACAAGAGTATATTATATATAAGAGAAAAAAATCAAAATGTTAAATGTCATAACTTAATTTTAGGGTCTCTAGTTAAATAGTGGTATGTTACATTCTATTTCCCCCTTAGGGCTTGTTTAGATGCACTCTAACCCATCCAAATCAACATAGTTTGGGAGGAATTAGGGTGGAAATTAGTTAGACCCTGTTTTTAGCTCTCGAGGCTCCAATCAGAAAGTCTAAAGTGTTGTCTAAAGTTTAGCTAACCTCATAAAAATTTTAGACCATACGAGTGAGCTAAAATGGTGTAAGTTTTAGTTGTTAACTTTAGCCAACTAAACTTTAGACCATAGGATCAAACAAGCCCAATTTTCTATCTAAACAAGGCCTTGTTGTTCATCCATTTTCTAATTGATAAATTCTAAAGGGACGTGGCCCTTTATCGTAACTAGCCATTGCTGCCCGCGCTTCGCTGCGGGTGATGTGCTTGGTATATAAATTTTAAGAAATATAGCTTATATGTCTAATATGTTTTGTCATCGTGTTGGTACGGAAGGTTGGTCTCAATATTGTAAATGAACATAGAGGTTGGTTGTCACTACATGGTGCCTATTCTAGGCCAGCAAATAAATGACATGTTAGTGGAAAGAAGTATTTGATGGAGTTGGACTCAAGCAACTAACACACTTAGATTTAAAGTACAACATTGGATAGGATTACATTATAGGTGAAAATAGGAAAAACTACAACACAGTGAATTAGGATCCACTCCCCTTAGGCGAAACTACAACACGCATCCAATAACTACGGATGACAATAACGACAAGAGTACAATACAAGAGGAATGACGAAAAACACCACTACTACGGCATACTGACATTCCAAGGCAACTAATCTACCTTGGAACCACGCATCTTTATGCCTTTGCTCATGGATTCTTTCTATACGGCTATGGATCTGCGTCTTCTCGTGCCAATGTGAGTGAGTGAGAGGAACCAAGGGTTACGCTTCTAACACTTCCGAAGGTGGAGGTCTTTGGCGGTTCTACATCACCAGTTCTCCTTCTTTCAAAGGGTGGATAGGGACCCCCTCCAAGATCGGGGCATCCCGCCTTTCATCAACCAGCGTCCTCCGCTTGGCCCTAGTGAGCAGATAGGCCTCACCACCGGTGATGAACATGCCGATCTTCGGCCTCTTGAGCTTCGACATGCAGTCTCTCGGCTCTCAAAGAATTGCAAAGACTTGGCATGTGCTTCATGAAGCTGCACTGGAGCATTGAATGAAGATCTCGGCTTCTTCGGCGCGCTGGAGGCACGCCCTCAGCTCCAAGGCTTGCCGGTCATACTGCTCATCCAGAGCAAGCAGGTACGTGGTCAAGTGCACCATGGTAGGACTATCTTCTTGCACATCCCGCCCTTGCAAAGCCTCCATGCGAGCCATCCATGGCCGCCGATTCCTATCCAAGGGTGGAAAGAACTTCATGGGGGTACGGGCAATCGGCTCTTCATAGAGCTGGCAAAGGTACCGCAAGGCTTTGCGGGCCACAACCTGGTAGGTGTCAGTGAAGGTAAACCCGGTTGCGGTCACACTCCAAGCTTCGGTGATGTCGGGGAACTCTTTACTCTTCCCAATGTAGATGGTAACCTCACACCGATCGGTGCCATACTTTTGATACTCACGGCCCTCATACTCAGGACGATCTTTGACTCCGAGCTTTTGTAGGGTGGCATGCAGGATTCTAGGAAAACCCTCAACGTTCAGGCAGTAAGTGCTAACCCAGGCTCCTGTCATTTCTGGTGGTGGCTACAAAGAAGGCCTAAGCACAAAGCTTGCTCAAAGGGAAAACCTATGCGAGGTAAAGTGCGACGAGTGGTGGTACCAATGGCTAAGCCAGGCTCTGCTTATAAAGGCGGAGCGGTCTGTGGTCCTGGCGCGGTTCACTAGGGTTCTCGCGCGGGCTCACTACGAACGAATCGACCAAATTCCGCGCATTCGAGGCGAGTGACGTGCGGTGCCATTACTGAGTAGTACGACTACAGGGCAAGGGTCCGACAAGAGCGCAGAAAAGGGATACGAGGAGACGTGGGTCAATATTGACGTGACTCATGGGAGAACGGGGAGCACAAAGCCATAGTGCAGACCTAACTCTGTAACAAGCACGAGTAGGCCATGCACACTGCGACACGCGTGACACCTATGAATGGCGATCTCGCCAAAGAATACGGCCCAATAATGCACAAACAGGCTATGCATGAATGCACGCCCTATGCGTTCGAGGTGAGCAATGTCGAGGCCATTAATGACTAATACGGTACTGCAAGCCAAGGTTGCGACAAGAGCCCAAAAAAGAGTGCCAATGGCTAAGGTAGGCTCTGCTTATAAAGGCGGAGCGGTCTGTGGTCCTGGCGCGGTTCATCAGGGTTCTTGCGTGGGATCACTACGAACTAATCGACCAAATTCCGCGCATTCGAGGCGAGTGACGTGCGGTGCCATTATTGAGTAGTATGACTGCAAGGCAAGGGTCCGACAAGAGCGAAGAAAAGGGGTACGAGGAGACGTGGGTCACTACTGAAGTGACTCACGAGCGAACACGGAGAACAAAGCCACAGTGCAGACCTAACTGTGTAACAAGCACGAGTAGGCCATGCACACTACGACACGCGTGACACCTATGGATGCTGTATCTACCAACAATACGGCACAATAATGCACAAACAGGCTATGCATTAATGCACGTCCTATGCGTTCGAGGTGAGCGATGTCCGAGACCATTAAGGACTAATATGGCTGTAAGCCAAGGTTAAAACAAGAGCCCAAAAAGAGTGCGGGAGACTTGGGTCATGATAGGCGTAACCGCAGGCGATGCAAAGCACAAAGCCACAAGGAACGAGAGCCTCTGTAAGTATGGATGTAGATGCAATTATGATAGCTGTAGTAATGGCGACCAACCCCAACCACCGACCATCTCGGGAGCAACGTGCACATGCATGGATGCATGTGTAAGTACAAATGGTCCTGCATGGTCGATGAATCATTTTTATCTGATGGTAAGGAGGAGAGGCACTAAATGTGTCCACCAACCCCAACCACTGCTTTGCCAAGGCCATTGCGGGTGATGTGCTGTTGTAGGAGATTTGAAGTGTTTCAAGTAGAGAGAGAGTACAACCAAGTGGCAAATGCCTTAACCTCTTCAATGAGACGTGTAAAAAGTGGAAAGGAGAAAGCGCTGCGTGTGCTCGTCCTTCCATGCATGCCATTTGTAATTTGCGATGGCCATTATTAAGGAGAAGGCCGACGATTTCCACCACTAAAAATCATAAAGAAAGCGTAAACAGCCAAGACTCGACAAAAATTGCTTTGGAATGGTCGGGTGGTAGAACCAAAGGGTTCTGGTTACGTTAGCGGTCTATCACTGAGAACAGACTCTAAGCCCAACTAAAAAATGGTTACGTTAGCGGTCTATCATCGCTGCAAATACGTCATGAGCGACTTGCTCTACTGCAGGGCTTCAAGGCGTCCCAGTAGCAGTAGAATTCCGTGAAAATCGAGATTCAGACTTACATGGGTGTTCCCATTTCAACAGTATGTCCAAAGCAGACTTCGTGGTTACGCAAAAGTCAAACACCGAACACGGTAGTAACAATGTAGTAACAATAGTAAAACAATTAATCAATAGTATAAAGAAAAGGTTCCATACAAAAAGGTTATCACATCGACGTTGTTCATATACTGACCTCCGGGGAAATTTTACATTACAAGTAGCGTATCCATAAAATCCCTATTGAATTATATGCCTACCAAAATGTATCTGTCTTTCTCATCACTCCCACGGCCACTATGGCGGCCACAACCTCATCCCAAAAATGAAAGGAAAAATGGAGAACATGTTGGTACTTCTTTCTTTCTTTTGGCTTTACGGTGTACAATAGTTTATTCAACTCACAATGCTACATGAAATCTCTGCTCACACGGCAAAAAAAGTTGTCTTCCTATCCTACTGCAGAGCAGTAAAGAACCGGTGTTCATTTGCTTGTGAGAGAGAGAAATATTCCAGGAAACTTGTCTCGCTTAGTACATTGCTCATAGAAATATAGAACGCATGTGGAAATCAAAATCTTATATTTTAGCCCACATTTTGCCAACCTATGTCGAGCTAATAGGTACAGCCTAACCAGATTATTTTCATCTTCAAGCATATATCCAAAACAATGTGAGCCTATGGATCAGCATTTGGGGCCTCTACCATCAATTTGCAACAATGCTGTTTTCTTAAAGTGGTATAGAAAATGGTATCACAGTCAAATATCCACCAAAAAATCACGATTTAGCTTGTGTAAAATATCTATAATCATACACCTTCTTGAATTGGCAAACTACGTGCATATAGCTATTTACCATGTCAAACTGTTAAGCTGGGCAACACAATAGAAATATGGCTACAAGAATCTATGTATACCTCAAGAAACTAGTTCATGTAGGCAAGAGCGTTTTCCTCTCATCGGTTCCAATCCGATGGCTCGCTTTGAAATGAAAGCTAAAGTAGATGTAGCCTCTAAAATGACACATCTATTCTAAAATGGAAACCGCTGAGATACTCACATCATCAGTGCACACCGGCCATCATATTTACAAAGAAGATTCAGGATGACTGTGGAAAATATGCACCACATGAGGCCACATGTCAAAAGAAACTTAATAAACGACTTGCTATTTCTACAACAACATTAACAGCATCCCAAATCACATGCCAAAGCTATAAAAGTCTAGAGCGGAGATCATGGACACAAAGGCAAAAACAAAGCACTTCTTCAAAGGGCAATGCCAAGTGAAACCTAAATCAAGTATTGGAGTAATTTGTTAATACCATTTGAAGCGAGATAAAAACTTACCGGTGAATTTGGGTATCTTCCAACTCTATTAAGTCATTTGGTTTGTCATCTTTGACTTTAGCAAGTGGAGAAAAGAACTAAGGAGAAATGACAGAAAGATACATGAAATACAACAATGGTTGTTCAACAAAAAAAGTAATAAAAAGGCCGATTTACGGTGCATTGAAATAAACACCACCGATATGCCCGGAGAAAATTAATGGTCAAGGTATGCCCCAAGAATGCAGCAGAAGCTAGGACGAAGTAAATATTGTGGCAGCAGTTGATGAATACTTCTTTAAAATTGTGGCTGCGGTGTATTTCAATTAGACAATAGATGTGATAACCGCAATAATAATAAAGAGCAAATGTCAAAAACCATTACCGCATACTTAAGGAATAACGAAGATAGAATGGCTTGTGCAAGCATTGTTACATATGAGAAACATTGTGGCCCTTGAATGTCCTCGAAGAATATTAAAACTTTCCGCCCCGCAAAAGAGAGGACAATGTAATCATCATAAACATAAATGAGGACAACATACCTATCGTGTTTGCCTCGGAAAAAGGACATTCACATCCCCCCGGCCCCCTACTAAGCATTAGTAAATACTTTAAATTCTAATAATGTTCTACACAAAATCAAGAAGCTTTTTATGAGCTATGCGTTCGTTATGCATATCCTTTTTGTTGGTACAACTTGTTAACACCACCATACAAAATTATTTTTCTCATTGCCATCCGAATGTGGTGGACGGATAAATCTGACTAGTGGCCTAGTGCACTAGAAATGCATTGCCATCATCTATCAAGCCCTGGCGATTGATGTAGGCCGACCCTTGACAAATACCGATTCAAAGGATCGCCTCACTATCAAGCCCTAGCAACTAAGCGCAAGATTTTGGATGTATGATTTTTGGTTCCAGCTCGGTTGAATTATTAACGGCCAAATGAACACGATAAGAAATCATCATTTGGTGTTGCTACTACCACATCCAAGATTGTATCCGCTTCACCTTTCACCCCACCAAAGGTGAATATTGAGCCACCGAAAACACGGTGAAGAATGATATCCTCGGTGTAGTTCATGGGTTCAACCATCATCCATGACGGCATCCTTGGCTCGCACACCTCAACAGTAGCCACCATTGCTTTAGGCGATTGTCGTATCCACCAATCGAGAATCTGGAAGAAAATACAAAGGCAAATTACGTCAACAAAGGATAGTATACACCCGATGCCCCCCCTCATTTTTCTTTGGGCACGCGTTATATATATAGCATTTTTTTCGAAGGCACATCCTACATATCTTCAGTTCATTGTTTCAACATAAAAAGAAAGAGTTACATGACTTACATCTTCTCATCAAGCATTGTAAGTGTATGATGACCCTTCCTACACTCATCCTTGGTAGCATTTTCCAGTTAGGCTCCCGAGGATCAAGTCTTTCGATAGTGCCGCCAATACACATCATAAAGTTAGCGAATAGTTTTCTTGTTGCTCCTCTCACTTCAAATACCAACGCCATTATAGCAACAGAGAATATGCTAATGAACATTTACGAAATAATTCAGTTTATTTAGATTTGCACTAAACCATAGGCCAGCAGATGAGGTTTAACTAAGCTGTTTTTGAGATGTCGGAGGTTTTATGAGCTGTTGTATTGCCACCAGATCAAAACCAAACCAATCAAGTACTAAGTATGAGCAGGAAAGCACATCACCTCGGATATTCAACACCATTGAAGCCACCAACAAAGATAAATCACACCATTTAGTGCCACACCGGCTAGAGTTAATTATCAAGAAACAGTGTGACAAAGAGCAGTCAAGCTAGAGAGTTTATCATATTATGTGGAGATTTGTATCGAGAAGCAAATATTTTCCCAAAAAGGCCGGTACATCAAATTAAAATGGAACCGGGAACTATTTTTTCTTCTTTGTAGAATTACAGTTTTCATGAGTAAATGGTTATTATTTCCCAAGCTATTTGTGTCTTAGGCAGATTTATGCATGTTCCACCAAGTGTAAGGGCTTTAGTAATGTATGAGAAAAAAGTTTTCACATTCTAGAACAAATGAGCAGTAGAAAGCGATACCTTTTCCAAAGATAGGCTGATTTTTTATCCACTTACCATGAGTAGGATCAAACATCTCAACATCGAGAGAAACACTCGGTTCCATCTCCACCACCAAATGCATAGATTCTCCCATTGACACTAACTCAAAGAAGGCTCCACATCATCACGAGTCAACGATGGGCATGTGGACCAATCACCACTGGCCGGTCATAACAGTAAACTTCATCCAAAAGATAAATGCGAGAATCGGGATGAGATTGAAATACAAGAGCTCAAGAGGGAACTAAACTTAGAAGCCAAGTAGCAACTTTGTATCAAACCAAGCAAACACCATCACCACCATCGAGAACAAATATCTTGCCCTCTAGTGCAGCAGGTTGAGGTATATGACTTGCCAATGACCATTGGTTTGAGGGGTGTTACTACGTCCAATGAAGGGAAAAAGAGTCTAGTGATGGCACAAATGAGAAGCCATCAAAACCACCAACTAGATAAATGACATCATCTTCGAACCCAAGCATTGTTCTACAAAGCTGGTTAAGTTTAATCGTCTAGGGTCAAAGGATCTATTTTAGAATTCAATGTTTTAACTGTTCCCTTTAGTACAACAATTCTTTTCAAGTAATCTCTCATTCACCCCTTGTAAATGTTTGACTTCTTTGTTGGACCAAGCCTGCATTTTGAACATAAATTAGGTTTAACCACCAAAACTTTTGCCAACAAATGAGACGTTTTTCCATACTTTGGGCTTGCATCCTTTTCTCTACTTCCATATTGAAAGAGTGAGGTTGAACAATCGATCATAGAGGATCATATTTGAAAGCTTGATTAGAAACTAAGCGGAGATCTTGAGACTGATTTAGAAGCATAATGGAAAAATCTTTTCATTTCATCACGCCTTGCTTCTTCCATGTCTTTAGGTAGCCATGAACCAAAGACACTACAAGCTTCTTATGGATTCTCCTGTTAGTGCCAAGATAACAAATTTAGCCACTCTAGAGTGCAAAATTTAGCTATTCCAATCCTACACGCATGGGTCTACTATTATCGAAGTATAATAATATAATAATATACAAAAATTACTCAACATAATGTCACCGCTTTATTATCCTGGTTCCTACATTGCCATGCTAAGTTATCAACACATCTATTCAAAGTGCAATTTCGGTTTAATTTTTTGCATATAACATTCCCACAAATTTAAGATTGCATGGTTCGGTATAACAGATGCAAGGCTTCTCATGAGGTTATAGCATAAAGAAGAGACACGCTTCTTCTCCATCACCTCTATTCGTCTAGATAACTACAGCAATCATCATCGCAACTAGAATTAGTGTGAGAAACAACGAGGACACGAATTGACCAACAGAGGAAAAAAAACACAAAACAAGGCTCATAGATCCATTGCCACAAACAGAAGGTCCATCGGCGCACACACACCAAAGATCGAGGATACAGAGGACCCCAAATCAGATGGAAAAACAAATCAATACTCCCACGATCTAGAACCAAGAGGAGAGAAAAAGAACATTCCGTCGGGGAGAGGAGAAAAGTGAAAGGGTCCGGACCTTCTTGGAGCTTGCGACTCCTCAAAGATCGACCCTTGGATCCAGCCCACTCGCCTTGCCTCGGTAGGAGGCAAGGAAATTTGAGGCAGGCGGCGCCACCTGTGATGGAGGATGGCGTCGAGTAGGTGCGGGCACCGACGCGGATAGCACGGTGGCAAGCCTCGGCGGTCGGAGCGGACGAGAGTCAGAGGGCGACGACAACGCATAATGTTTGCTTGCCAAGACACGGGCATCTGTGCTTGCTGCTAGTGGTGGTGGAACGCCTCCCCTACAGTATACAGACACACTGGGGCGTGGTGCAGCTCTCCACGCCATGCTCGACCTCCATGGATGTGCTGCGCGCCGTAATGATTAATAGGGTAGCAAGGAATCAAACAATTAAAAAATTTCCCCACCTTCTAGAACAGATCCTCCACCTCCCTCTCCCGGATGTCGCCGGGAGGTTGCCGACGAGATCGTATGCGGCTCCGGTGCTGCTCATCCTTCACCGTTGACCTACCAACAAAGCAAGAAGGAAGAATTAATCACAAATCAGCCCCCGACGCTCGTCGCGTCGCATCCGCATCTACGCAACACGACACGACCCCCACAAGAAAACAAATCTAGAAGGCGGCCGGGGCACGAACCACCCGAGGAACGATGAGGAAAGGAGATTCGTGCACTGAGCAGTTTGTGGCGAGAGGAGATAGAGGTCGAGGCTAGGGTTCCGCTGTTGCGACTCTCGGCCCTTCCATCGCAGAGAACGCGAGGCCGTCATCGCTTGCAAATTGACTGCTGCATGATCACATCAAAGAAAATCAAATCAACTGAAGCATGTGTATTGTGAAGATGCGAGAGAAGAACAACGAGGACGGTGGTGTGATACGACGACTGGCGAGTTCAAACCTAGTCGCCGGCCGATGACCTCACCTCAAGACCCAGACGGATCTGGTGGGTAGATCAACGGACACGGGCACGCGAGTCACCGAGAGCGGCAATGGGGGAAGCGAGGGCTCGGACGCCGCCACGGCCACCGGCGTTGGACGGCGCACCATGGCGCCGTGCTTGGGGACGCCGCCGCTACCGCACGCGCACAGTCTTGGGAGCCTCGGTGGTCATGACGAGGAGCGAGGAGAGGCGCGAGCAAGCGCTGGAGAGGGCGCACCGCCGGTCTGAAGCGATGGGGAGGGCGGCACTTTGTGAGAGGCGGAGCAGGCGGCGGGGAAGAAGGAAGAGGGAAGGCGGCATACCACGGAGGAGACGACGGGACGCCGATTGGAGGGGACGAGATTTTTTTTCTGCGGACGGTACGGTTATCCCGTGAAGAAGCAAGTGAAGTAAGCAAGCAAGTGAGTGTCGGCAACTTTTGCATGCATGCAAGGAAGGGCCCAGCGAACTTTTGCATGCATGCAAGGAAGGGCCCAGCGACATGCGAGGATGCGTGCCGACCACCCGCACCGATGTCGAGAATCTCTCGTCCTCTGCTACCGTTCATCCTCGTCTATCTCATCTGAGCCGTGGAATTTCGATCTAACGCACAAAATTAAAAGAATTGACGTGGACAGCCTAGAAGGCCGCCGATTCGGCGTGCCTTCATATCTTTAATACTGATGTGCATGGTCCTGTGCGACCTCGGGCACTCTAGCTCTAGTTGGTGCTGATCCAAGATCCAACTCAGTATCAACGCATGTGTCTCCATGTACCTGAATACCTGATAGCCTAAATAAGTACAGAAGAATTGACAGTTGGGCACCCTGGTAACAATGCCCTTACCTACTAGTTTTTGCAAAGAGTGTTAGGATCCCAATCCTAAGACAGAATCCCACCCCACGTTTTAGATAGCCGAAACAATGCGGGTCCCACATGTGCATCTTAGGCCCTCCACAGTGACACACGGCAGAGGCCGATGCCCGTTTCTAGCGATGCTTAAAATTTTGAGAGCAAGACAACTACATGCACCGATGCCCAAACAGTAAAAAATTATTTTATTGCTTCTCTTCGGTTCAGGCCCCGTTTAGTTGGCTGGCGAAGTTGGCGCCGCCGGAATTTGCTTCCACTGTAGGGCACTGTAGCATTTCGTTTGTATTTGGTAATAATTGTTCAATCGTTGACTAATTAGACTTAAAATGTTCGTCTCGTAAAGTACAACCAAACTGTGCAATTAGTTTTTGATTTCGTCAACATTCAGTACTCTATACATGTACCGCAAATTTGATGTGACGGGAAATCTTCTTTTTGCATAGTATCAAAATTTAGATTTTGGGTAACTAAACAAGAGCTCAGCCAAAAGAGAACCAGTAAGGTGGAAAAGGAGAACAGTGACCTTACTTTATTTTTGGTTGGGTCCCAACCAGTACAGGTGGCTTGGTTCAAAATTCGGTGCCCACTATTTAAGGTGGGTCCAATTTTTTTTTTCCCTAGCGCTACTCGTACATTGCGGAAGGTCTGGTAATGCTATGGTATAGTGTACCATGATCTATGAGGTAAGGATCTCATAGAATCCTACTCCAAATGTAAAATAAAATAAAATAAAATCAACATATAAATTTGAGTAATATCTTTGAGTAGGAGTAATTATGGTCTATCAGTTTAATAATTTGATATCATTTTCTATATACAGTGCCATGTTAAGTAATTTAATTTGGAGTATAATGTCTAAAATTAAGTTGGAGTGAGATCGGCATAATATGTGGACTCAAGTTTACACAAATTTAATAAATTTATCAAAAATCGCCATTATATTATAGACTCAACTTTTTAGGAATATATTTAAAGTTGGATTTAAAAAATATATCTATTACTCAAAATCATGATTCGAATGTTAAATACTGTCAAATAAAAAGTAATCCTATCTAAGACTCTTTTGTCTTTTCCTATCAACCTCGCAGAGCTGCCATTGGAGGATGGTGCCTGAGCCGCTGCTGCTTCTGCTGGAAACAGGCCCATTGCTCGCCGGCGCTACGCTGGGAGCTCAGCTCGAGCTTCTTCTATCCTCTACAGCGCCTTGCAGGTACGCGCCCATATGGCCATCCATGCCCGTGAGGCCGTGAGTTTCGATGCAAAGGTTCGCGATTGTCAGCCTGTCGGCCTGCCCCTTATTGCTGTCTCACAGCTAGAGGCAACGTTTCTCAGTTTCTGTGCGTGCAGTTGACCACCATCGTCTCCACAGGGCAAAGGCAAATCGGGCAACGGGGAACAAACAAGTACAGCAAACAGAAACATCGATTAGAGTTCGAGGCCTTGTTTAGATACTCAAAATTCTAAGTTTTTCCACTCTCTCCATCACATCAATTTTTAGCCGTTTATATGAAGCATTAAATGTAGGTAAAAAAAAAAACTAATTGTACAGTTTAGTTGGAAATCACGAGATGAATCTTTTAAGCTTAGTTGATCCACGATTAGACAATATTTACTAAATAAGACGAAAGTGCTACTATTCATCGGGTTGAAATTTTTTTCAATCTAAACAAGACGCAACTGAGTATTCCGTACATGCACACATTGCACATACTACTATGAACATGCTACACGGAAACCCTAACATGGACTACCATCAAAAACCCTGAAACTTGAGCACTACTGTCCTTTTGTCCTACTGATGATATAATAGAACTAAAGTTTACTACTAATGATATAATAGAACTAAAGTTTTCCTTTTTAAAAAAGAACAGCTACTGAGTACTGACTGACTGCCACCGGTAATGGAATGGAAAGGCACGCACGGCAGCTAGTTTGGGTGGCCGGCGGTGGACGGGCAGGGGCTGGACCCGATCGGCTGCTGGTGTGCTGCGAGCGGCGACGCGCCGGGTTGGTGGTCGACGGAGGAAGAGTTTGCCTCGGCCATGTCGAGCTCGATGTCCTTGTGGCGGAGCATGAGCAGCAAGCGCCGGCTCTCCATGCGGAGGCGGTCGTTCTGCAGACGCGCGCGTTCCATGTCGCGCTCCTTGTCGCAGCGGAACCGCTCCCATTTCAGCCGCTGCCCATCCAGGTAGCACGCGTGGGAGTCCAGGCGGATCTGCTGCTCCTCCACCTCCACCGCGCGGCGGCGCACCCAGCTTCGGGCCTGCTGCGGGTCCATGGTCGCGGACGCGAGCTCGCTCTTCACCTGCCGCAGCATCGCCGATGGGTCGGGTGCCACCCGCGCCGCCGCCCTCCACCTCGCGCGTCTCCCACCACCGCCTTCCGCCTCGTCGTCGAGGTCCTCGGCCGCGGCGCCATTCTCGCCACGCCCGCGCTTGCTGCGCCCGCCGCCGCTGTGCTGACGGCGACTGGGGCGGTTGTTGCTGTGGTACATGTGGCCGCCGTCCTCCTCCTCGTCGTAGTCGTCCTCGTCCTCGTCCCCGTTGTCGCTCACGGCGTCGTCGCTGTCGTCGTCCTCGTCGTCCGCGACGTCGGCGGAGGAGTCCTTCATCCCCGGCGGGGACGGGGCCGCCGCCTGCTGCTGCGCGTAGGCGTGGCGAGCGGCGGACGAGTCTGCGGCGGCCACGGGCGCCGGCGGCGGGTGGTGGAGGCAGGCGGCGTCTCCCGCCGCGCCGCCGCCGGCGTGCGGCAGCAGGTTGTTGTGGTAGGTGCACATCTCGCGGAAGAAGAGGTGCTTGGAGCTGAGCAGCTTGCGCGCCTCGTCCTTGGCCTTGGGCGTGAGGTCGTCGAGGGTGTCGAGCAGCGCGTGGTTCTCGACCACGCGGCAGGCGCGGCCGCGGCCCAGCAGCTCGACCACGCGCTTGTACCGCTTGTTGAGGTCGTTGAACTTGTCCTCGCACTGCTGCGGCGACACCACGAAGCCCTTGTCCATCATGGCGTGCGACACCGACTTCCACTTGCCCTTCTTCTGCTGCTGCGCCGCCGCCGCGTGGCCGTGGCCGTGGCCGTGCCCCGACGAGCCCGCCCTGCCCGCCTTGCCTGCCCCCGCGCCGCCAGCCGTCGCCACTCCCTCCCCGTCGTCCCCGACGCTGTACACCACCCCGATGAGCAGGCGCACCATGGCGTCCGTCCATTTCATCCTCGTCCACGGGCACGCCGCCGACGCCAGCTGCTGCTGCTGCTGCGGCACCACCACTCCTCCCTTCCCGCCGCTGCCGTTGTTGCCCACCATGTCGTCGTCGTGCCCCACCATGACCCTGGACGACGACGTGTTGGAGTAGGGCGAGAACGACGGCGGCGCCTGCTGCTGCCTCACCGCCACCGCCACCGGCGCCGGCTGCTCCAGCTGGAACCCACCCTGCTGCTGGTGCTGGAACGCAGCGGCCGAGTGCATCTGCTGCGGGGCCAGGTGCATGTCCAGCCCCAGCATTGCCGCCGACCCCACCCCGCCGCCCCGCGGCGCCATCCCTCCTCCCCCGTCGCCCCTCTCCATCGGCAAACCGCCAATCTCAACCCTACCAGGTCTAGAAACCACTTGTCACTCTCGCTCGTGCTGCCGCTGTTGTACGATGCGCCGTGGGAAAACGGCAGCGAGGTGGGTGCGGTTTTTATGGGGGGAGCTGTGTGGGCGATCGCCGCCGGTTTCGCCCGTGCGGCTGCGACCGCCTCCGGGCGCGGCAGCGGCACGGGTACCCGGTTTTGCTCCCGCGCCTCACCGTTTCCAGCGGTGGGGGCCCACAGTCCCGCAAAACCGCCTGGGATCCCCTGAGCAGCGGCGCTCCCCGCTTCTACGTGCGTGTGCTACTGTTTCGGTTGGTTGGAGGTGTCAGGTGTACACACAAGATCCGATACCGCCTGTGGAGGACTACTGGATTGCGAGCGAAACAGCTGCCCGGAGTGGGCTGCCGGCTGCCCCTGGTTTTTGGTTTTACCGGAGCTGGAACCCACTGTTTTTCATTTTTCTCCATCTCTCAGTTTCTTTTGAGGACGCGATTACAGAAAAGACCCCACTGTTGGATGGACCTTTACTGTGGTTGGTTGCGGTGGCGATTTTTCATGCGGTGGTCAACCTGCAAGTGACAGTCACGTTGACCTTGTCAACCGTTTGTAGTAAGGTTCTGCTACGGTTGCTTCACAAGTTGTACCCGCTGTTCGCTATCACATCTGTCTCAACGTTTTTTGATACCATGATGAATATGAAATCTTCCCTCCGGACTCCTACATTTGGGCTGACCAAAAAAACTCAATGTATAATTTTGACTTTTGCCAAATTTTTGTAGGTTGTGGCAGTGAACTCATCAGGGGCGGATCTAGGATTTTGGGTCACTGATGTCAATATAAAATTATCAACTTATGACAACGACTTACAGTGAACAGTAATACATAAACGAGTGTAAATAGCAGTCTGGAATTGTTTCTAGAAACAATAATAAATATTTACCTCTTAAAGAAGCATTTTCCGATTGCGATTTTCCATCTTTTGAAAGCGATCAATTATAACATTGTCGGGATTGTCGCTAGAAACTCGGCTCAACAAAGCAAATGATGCAATCATTCATAAACTTGTTGCCAATACGATTACGCTGATATCGTCTTCACAGTTTTCATGGCCGAGAAGCACCTCTCCATAGATGCAGTGGCAACAGCAAAACAAGTACTAGCTTTAGGAGTGATAGACTAATGGAAAAGCAAGATGCTTCTTTGTATCCACCATCAGTTTAGCAAGTTACGTAATAGTATTCAATCTCGAAAACCTTTCATCACTTCGCACATTGTCAATGTAAATAGGCGACTTATGAGCAAGATCCTTTAATTGATCGGGGCTAAAATCATCGGGATAGAGTTTAGCCAATTCCAATAAGCTCTCCAATTTGAAATCGGCAAAAGAATCTTTAGGACTAAAAGCGACCATGAAAGTGAGCAAATTAGAATTTGTTTCACCAAACCGATCATTGAACTCGTAAGTAGCATATCCCTGGCCCGAGTTCAAACAATCCCATCTGTAGTTCGATAATTGGTTGGTTTGTCTTTTCCTTGGTTTATGGCGATCAACATACTCTTCTTCCATGTCCAACTTAGGAATACCATGCTCTTCACAAAAGGAATATATTGTCTCTAATAAAGATTCCCATCCATCATCTCTAATCTGCTTTGGAATTTTTGCTTGGTTAACTTTACCTCGACATGGCCTCCAATATATCTGATCTTTCCTTTGCAAATAAAGTGACAAAGAATTTGCATGCCCCAATATAATTAACATCAAGTGTAAATGAAACACAAAATCAAAATCCTTGAGATAATCTAGGAGACCCACGCATTGACGCCTCTTCTTATCATTAGGGCCATCTTTTTCCACATATTGAAGAACTTCAATAATAGAAGGAAACAAGCTGTTAAGACTCTTAAGGGTCTTATAGTGAGAGCACCAACGAGTGTCTCGAGGTCTTTGAAGAGATTGTTCTGATTCAGTCTGTTGTTCCAAAGACAAATCTGTCCACTCCCTATTGCTTTCTTCACCCTCTCTTGTTGACTTTGTCGTATCATGTCTTTTCTCTTGCAAGAAGCTCCAGCCACATTAAGAAGAAGAGATATCATGTCAAAGAAATCATCAATGTCATCATTCTTTTTAGCTATCGCCACAATAACTAGCTGAAGTTGGTGGGCAAAGCGGTGGACATAATATTTGAACTATTCTCTCTCATTATCAAAGCTCTCAATCCATTGAACTCACCTCTCATGTTGCTTGCTCCATCGTAACCTTGGCCTCTAACTTGTTTCCAACTCAATTTATACTTGGCAAATAAATCATCAATATTAGACTTGAGACATGTAGATGTTGTCTCGCTGACACGAACAACACCAATAAGTCTTTCTTTGAGTACTCCACATTTGTCAACATACCGCAAAACCACAGCCATCTGTTCCTTGTCTGAAACATCAGCAGACTCATCGACCAACAGACAGAATACATCACAGACAGAATACATCACCACCAATTTCTTCAATGATAGAATTCACTATGACCTGTACAGAAGCACAAAACACATTATAGATCATTTTACTATTACATTGGGTTCAAACATCTTTTGTAAAAAAGAAAATGGAACCAGGCCTGAATGGAACCAATATTACCTCTGCAAAGCAATTAGCAATGTCTTTTTGGATTTCTGGAGCTACCATCTGATGATTTTCAGGAGCATTTCTTAGAACAACCTTCTTTATCTTTTCATTTTGCTCTGCCAAAAGTTTCACCAACTCTAGAAAATTCCCCCTGTTACCGGACTCTTTGCTCTCATCATGACCACGAAAAGCTAATCCTTGATGTAACAGATACCTAACAGCATTTATCGAAGTACTTAGTCGAATAAAATACTCCTCTTTAGCAATATCTCTCTGTCTGCTGAGTGCAAACTCAATGGATTGGCTTGGCCTCAATAAATTGTTGCATCGCTTCACAGCTGCATTGTGATAGCTATTTATCCCTCCTACATGAATGTCTAGTCTTTTTTTAATATTCCATAAAGAAAATCCTTTTGTTACAAATGCATCATTTCCACCCTGTCCTTCAATGCAGTCTCTAAACAGATAGCAGTATATGCAAAAGGCTTTATCCACCTTCTCACTATACTCAAGCCAATCATATTTTTTAAACCATTCAGGATTAAACCGTCGTGGAACATTTGCTATGATTGATTGCGGATACTTGAAATTAGGTTGTGGTCTATGAGGGCCTCTAATCAAATATCTTCTCCTTATCTCTTCTCGTAGCTTAAGACCAGGATATTCAATTATTCTCTTCCTATCAGCTGGATCATCAAAAAGATCATCTAAATTAACATCTTTTGGTGATAGTATCAAAGAAGGACGACCTGTAGCTGTAGCATTGATGTTTGATGCACCAACATCTCCCTGTGAAGTCCCTTCATCACTGGCCGCTGGTGGTACTTTTCTTTTCAAGAATCGATCCATCAAATTCTTGCTTCCTCTACCTTGCTAGCTGTATAATTAATTAATGGTTAAATTAAATCACCAATCAATAAATAAAAAAAAAACCCAAACGAATCAGGATACAGGGAAAACCTTACCTGCCTCACTGCCTGAGTACCTGACGCACAGACGGAGTGAAACGATTGATGCAGGATTGCAGGCTGGCAGCCGATGGGGATGACTGATGCTGTTTGCCGCCGCCCCGCCGCTCTGGAATGAGGCGACGTCGCGTGCGGCCGTCTCGGCGAAGTCATGGAGGCGTCGTTGCTTGTCGTTCGGCTTCGCTGCAAGCCTGCAACCCTTCGTGGAGAAGGAAACGGAGGCCAAGAGGCTGGACGACGGAGGATTCTTTGATGTGGGCTGAGAGCACTGATGTCATTGGAGATTTTGGGCTGCTGTCATCTGATCCAATACAGAGGAGTATACCTGGGCCGGGCCAAATGCCACTGCTGTCACCTGACATCAGTGCCACTATACTGGATCCGCCACTGCAACTCATTGTCTATGTACCTAGATGAGACAGGCATAATGTTCACGATATAACTTCACGGGCTTGGCGGTTCACATCATGGTTATGTGAAGTTTCATACTACCTCAAGCTAGATAAGCTTGACGCTCCGATCGACAATTGATTATTAAGAATGTATATTATTTTCTTTGGCGGAAACGGAGTGCTTATTCGACGAGAGTACACTCACCTTACGGATGCTTTGTGTAATATGATGAAGTTATAGTACGTGTTTTGAACCACTATCACTTTTTGCTACTATTTTGTAAGAATCAATACTGCCCTATTTACTTGAATGGCTTGGACCATTAATTTTAGCTCTGGCTCGACAGTTGGTTTAGTGTGTCATTCATGATGGCTACGGACAATTATGGCACCGTTCAGTTAATGCAACAAAAAAAACATGAGACAAAAGCGTAGCTTGTACATATCTAATTCCTTATGAGGGAAAAAACGGAAAAAGTCTACTTAACCCCTCATCTTTCATACATGGTCTACTTCACCCCCAACTATAAAACCGTCTGTTTTACCCCCTAAACTTTTCAAAACCGTCTATTTTACCCCCCGGGCGGTTTTCAGCGGCGGGTTGCTACAGTAACAGCGGGTTTCCTACAGCTACGGCGGGTTTGCTACAGTACCGGTGGTTTTGAATTTCCTTTTTTAAATTTATTTTCGGTGATTTTTTGAAAAATCATAGTAAATCATAGAAAAATCATAAAATGAAAAATCTAATTTTATTGGACTCCACATGAGTAGATCTACACAGTGAATATATAATACGGTATGCTTTAGTACAATTTTTTTTAGCTTTAGATTAATTGGAAAATCCAATTTTTTCTGTAATTAATTAAATTTATCTATAACTAAGTTATACATAGTCCAATAAGTACGAAATTTTTACTATAGTTCAAGCATACAATAATTAGCGTACCATAAAAATTTCACTACAATTGGACCATAGAAGCTACAGCTATGAATTATTCCAATTAATTACAGAC